TAAAGTTTGCAGTTGCGAATTTGTGATATGCCCTTTGAATGTTTATGAATTATGATAATATGATGTCTTTTAAGTTCTATTGCTTTCTATAACTAGTTTCAATCAAGTTTCTAGTTTCTACTTTCTAGTGTCCTCTATGATCTATCAAGGGATAGTGGGTACAGAATCTCCGATAGCTGATACTTTTGGAGTTAATGAATAAATTAAATACTTACTATCACATAAATCACCTTCATATTTTTTTCTATGCATTTATTTTTTAGATTTTTTAGATTTTTTTATATATATTGACCGCATCAGGGTGATGCACCTGCATATGGAACACATCAAGCCGCATCGCCGCCCCCCCCCCGGACCACATCTGGACCTCATCCCGCATTTTAAAACATTGGGTTCTACCATTTGCTGAGACACATTCTATTGTCCAATCTGTTGTGATACCTATCAATATGTGTATCATGGTATCATACAGTGTGACTCTTTTTGTACGCGTATCATACTGTTTGGGTATTGTACCCCATTCGTATGCAACTATTTGTAGCATATTATTCCACATCTCTGTTGCTACCTGAATCATCTTCCAATGGTGATCTACTAAATTACAGTCCGAGTGCTCCCCTATGGATTGTATGAGATTTGCTTAAATGTTTTAGTTCAGGTTGGTATCACGCCTTTTATTTGCGACACTCTGTGAGCCATATTGTTAGTGTTGTGTGAACTTCCTGGAATTTTATGAAGCGTTCGGCGAAATTTCTCAGTATGTTTGGGGCGATGGGGTTTTTTTCAAATTTGAAGTGTAGGTTGAGCCTGTAATTCATTTAAATTGGGCAATGGCAAATGGAGGCCTGCTTTCGAATTTGAAGTAGCCAATGAGAAGCTTAGATACAAATCTGAGCTTGAATGGACCAATCAGGGGGGCACAAATCTGGATGCGAGCTTGGAGAGAGCAATGGATCGCCAAACTTTTGAGGCCAAACCTGAAGATGCCAATATTCTGCTAGTCTTCCAATAACCATCCATCCATGCTGTACTAGCAGAAATCTCATATTCAGGCTGGTATACTTGCACCTTTTCAAGAGATTCGATGAGTTCCAAGAAATCGTCACAACTTTGAAGATTGTTTCAGCAGATTTCTCATCATTCTTTGTAAGAAATTTCTGCTATCCAAACTTTCTCTCTCATAACTCCTCTTCCCTGTTTTGATGATTAACAGCTTCATGTTGTCCTTAAAGACTGGCAGGAGCTTCAAATCTCAAAGTTCAAATAGTTTCTACTTTGTTAGTTTCTTATGGAGTCTTGTGGAACTTTGAACATGAATGAGCTCTAATTAGGGGTACATTAAGTTCTAGCCTTTCTGATTAGTAAGTCTTTAGTCCTACCTATGGCACGATGTCTGTTGCCTTTCCTTTGCCTGGTCTGGTTTCTTATTTGTGACGTATTGTTCTATACCATGTTTCCCATCTTCTTTTAACATTAAGCTCTAATCAGGGTTACATTAAGCTCTTGCTTTTCTGATTAATAAGTCTTTAGTCCTACCTGTGGCAAGATGTCTGTCGCCTTTACTTTGCCTGGTTTGGTTTCCTATTTGCATTATACTGTTCTATACCATGTTTCCCATCTTCAAATTTGAAGTTCACAAAAGTGTAGGTTGGGGCCGCTATGTCATTTGAATTGGGCAATGGCAAATGGAGGTCTTCTTTCGAATTTGAGGTGCCAATGAGAAGCTCAGATACAGATCTGAGCTTGAATGGACCAATCAAGGGGGCACAAATTTGGACGTGAGCTTGGAGAGAGCAATGGAAGGCCAAACTTTTGACTTGTCTTGGCCCTAGTCTTTATATAACCTTCCATCCATGCTTTACTAGCCGAAATCTCATATTCAGGCTGGTATACTTGCGCCTTTTTATGAGATTCGATGAGTTCCAAGAAATTGTCACAACTTTGAAGATTGTTTCCACTGATTTCTCATCATTCTTTGTAAGAAATTTCTGCTATCCAAACTCTCTCTTAACTTCTCTTCCCTGTTTTGATGATTCTCAGCTTCATGTTATCCTTGAAGACCGGCAGGAGCTTCAAATCTCAAACTTGAAATAGATTCTGCTTTGTTAGTTCCTTATTGAGTCATGGAACTTTGAGCATGAATAAGTTCTGATTAAGGTTACATTAAGCTCTAGCTTTTTTTATTAATAAGTCTTTAGTCCTACCTGTGGCACGATGTCTGTTACCTGGTCCGGTTTCCTATTTGCAACATATTGTTCCATACCATGTTTCCCATCTTCTTTCGACATGACTTTGAGTTATTGGCAAGAGTCATACAAAGTGTGCATAACTGCACGATCCTTTCATCATCATCATCAAAGCCTTCCCCAATTATTTGGGGTCGGCTACACGAATCCTGATCCACCAATCCACTCTATCAAGGGTCATACCCTCAGTGAGGCCATAAGTCCCCATATTTTTTTTCACTAGTTCCAACCATGTCCGTTTGGGCCTACCCCTTGCACTTTTTAAACCTTCTACTTGAACTAACTCGCACCTCCTAACAGGGGTTGTAGTGGGTCTGCGTTGCACATGTCCAGCCCACATAAAGCTATATTCTCCCATCTTATAGCCTATTGGAGCCACACCTAAGTTCTTCCAAATGTATTCATTTCGAATTGTTCATTCTTGTCTTGCCACTCATCCATCTCAACATCTTCATCTCAGGTCCACTCATCCTGTGGGGATCCTCTCAAACTCTATTTTTTGCAATAGCTCATCACTGTGTTAAGCAAAACCTCAGAGAGGAGCTCAAAGTTAGGTTTGCGCTTTACACAAATGTGTGCACAGTCTATCCGCTTGCAATCTCTCGTGGCATCATCCATTGAGATACGATCTCCAGTGGAAACTGCACTCTATCCAATTGGATATGGTAACCAGATATAGAAGGCCTGATACCCATGCCCAAATTAGTTTCGACCTTCGGACAGTAGATGGGAGAGGCTCTTTGTAATTAAACTAATAGAGCTTCATCCATTGGCTGCCAACAAACCCAGTGCCTCAAGTGAGGAACTTGTAGTTCAAATTTGATCATAAAATGGCATTAACCTGTTGCTATGATCTCAAACCTACCGTGCATTTTCCAAATCAGTTAGTTTCTCCAATAAATAGCTCCACTGTGGTCTTTTGCCAGAGAAAGATCCCAACAAAAGTAGCACCCATTCTTTCAAATTTGCTTGGATCATCTCCATTCATATGGTGATTGCAGGATATCCAGTTTGCGTCGTTGGTTAGCTTGGACTCTCACCAACAATTTGTGAAGAAGTCCTGGCGAACTTCAATGTGTTGGCATGGAGATATCTCCTGCCTGCTCCATTTTTCAGCATCCCATTTTCCTCAACCTGCCTTGCTAGGTTTTAGTCCAGGGGCTGTTGTGGAGGTTCAAGATAAGCATCATTGCTAACAGGGTTTATTACTGGTATTGAGGGTAGAAAGGTTGATGAGGAAGAAGGATGAGGATGTGAGGAAGGTTGCATGTGTGGAGTGGGACGAGGAGAGGAATGGAGGGATGATGCTGTGAGAGGGAATGGAAGGGAGGGAACTCTCCTTACTCTTCCATCTAAGCATCTAGGGAACTCTCTATATGCAAGAGAAGTAGAAAACCGAACTTCTTCCGAACTTTCCAAAGACAAATATGATGCAATTTGAAGTACACCATAAGGCTGCACACTACCAAACGACATGGAAATATACTTTTCTTCAAAGGCCACCATGCTTCAATTAAATGAACAATACCAGCATTGCACCAACAATACCAGCATTAGAGGATTATGCACCATGAACATAGTCATCATTCCATTCCGTATGAAACTGATTCTAACTTACAACTTTGCATTCATCAAATTCCCCAGCCATTTAAAAGTATGAGGAGGCTGCCTCAAGCTCAAGGCAGACCGGTTCCGGAAAATGGGAGTCTCAGGGGGTTTTTTAAAAGAAAAGAAAGAAAGGAAATTGATAATTCAGCCTAATTTTTTAGAAAAGAAGGATCAAACTCTGTAATTATTGGTCAAATGTGTGCCGCAAATGTCAGCAGCGATATCGATGAAGTTCTGAGAGTGTGTAGTGCAAATGAGGTTACGTCAACACTCAACAATCATATCCATTCAAGTGCAAGATCTCTGTTTCATAATACTCCACATCAGCAGAGATTCAAATACCACATTCGCAGCATCATATGCTAATCACAGAAAGCTTAGATAAGATTTGGTTTTTACCCCAAAAAAAAATCCCATTGTTACAACAATTGATCTCTTTATTTGTTGCTTTTTTTGCCCAAAAAACGAAAGAAGAAGAAGGAGGAAACAAAGGAAGATACAAACAAAAAGAAAAGGATTTGCATAACATTGGGAGTGGGTGGAATACCCCTGAATGTTGGCCTCCGCCCAAAGGGGCAAAAGGGTCAAAATGCCCCTCATCCGAAGGCATTTTCCACCTTGGGATGAAGCAAGCAAGGAGGCTGTCTGGGCTCGAGGCACCTGACACTCTCCTAGGAGTTTGAGGCAGGCACGATGAAGATATCACATGCTAAGGTGGGCTCATTTACGAAGACAGGAAGTATAGTCCACCCTCTCAAAGAGGCACATAGGTATCTGGCTTTTTAAATGTTGAGATTTCCAATCTTCAAACAAAGGGGATGACACCATCTTTACATCAGTTCTTACAAACAAACATTTGACAATGGATCCAACAGCATCAGAGTGCTGTACTATGAAAAATGCATGCATTATCTTTTGTATAATATATAGATGAATTTCTAGCCATTGTCACATTATGCCCATATTGTGTTAAGTGTATTATATGGATGGTAAATTAGTCATTATTACTTGTCCTGATAAATGAGTTATCCTTAGATCCAACTATTTCTCCACTGGACAGATATGCATTGCTGTCAAGTTCTAAATGACAAAAACAGACGTAAAAAGCGAACAAATCAGAACTGGGTAGCAATCCATTCCAATTACCTCATTTAATCCATTAGAGCTGACTTCCATTGAGAGAAAAGTCCGTGTGCGATCATCATTAGTGAACACCTCCCACCTTCCGAAATCTATCATAAACCTGTTTCTCTAGAACAAATTAGAAATAACATGGTTATAAACAGCTCAGAAGGACAAATATCAGCATTTCCACTAGATATATATCTACTATTTAGCAGAAATGCCCTCAGAAACCATTACCGTCTTTGAGCCTGAAACTTTTGACGGAGCATTGCAACAATGGAGTCAATCTGATGCACCCGAATTGGAACAGTCCTTGATAAACTTATGTGGAATTTCCTTTCCAAAAGACTTTGCTCTATCATTTGTTTTTCTTGACATAGCTCGCTAAGGGGCACGTCAACATCAACAGCATGAAGGCTAGGAACAAGTAACCCAGCTTTTCTCACCAAAGGTACCAACTCCTTTCTAATGTTGGTCGGAATCCGGACTGCAAATAAACAGCAAATCCTTTAGTACTAAAGGAATTTGAGCAAGAAAGATTATATGTAGGGATGTCCTTATGAACATGATGGTAGTAAGGTGAAGTTGTAAATATTATTATAGACAATTGCTAGTTCCGTAACTACCATAAAATTCCCGAAGTTTTATACAATGGGTAGCACAAACCCCTACTAGGATAGTGGAAAACGGAAATAGTTGCAAAAGCTACAAGAACAACATTGCTTAACTCAAATATTTGTTTAAGGAGCTTGGAAATTTCTAACTCTGTTCTTTAATTTATTTATTTCTACTTTTTTTTTGTTGGGGGGGGAGGGGGATTGGGGGTCAGTGGGATTGGGGCGTGATGCTTGCGCGTTGGGTTTTGAGGTGACACAAAGACACACACACACACACATGAACTCCAAAAGTATATGCATATATATATATATGTATAATTTTATGCATATTGATGTATTCCACCACCTAAGAGTGAGAAGAGGTTGCTCGATCTTCAATGTTTTCATATATATCTGGCTCTAAATCACCAAAAATATCCTCTTATAACCCTTATTTTGATGTTTCACAATGAATCCTATCAAAAAAAAAAAGGAGAAAAAAAAAAAAACAAAACAGATTTGAGAAGATTTCTCAAAACTTCTTGAATTTTTTACTTTAACAAGAATTTGGAAATCAAATTTAATGTTTTTCTCATAGTTGTTCGGATCTCCCAACCTAGAAGGCAATTGCGCTCCGAAATCTCACTCCAGTGCTCTGGGAAAGGGATCTTCAAGGGATTATGATTTTCTCCAATTTCTGGATCTCAATCCCATTGTTAAGGATCTTGATCCCCTCCTTAAAGACCAAGATAACAATCAAACTGATGATTTTCTTTATTTACAGCCAGCTAACAATACAACTATGGCTTTAATACAATTGCATTGCTTGTTGGCTATAAAAAAAGAGATCCCCTCTTTAAATAGTAGATATAGTCCTTGACTATGTTATACTCTTTAAGGTTGGAAGAAAGATTCCTAAAAGGTTGGAATTGAGATCCCAAGAGTTAGGGTTTGAGATCCCCATAGGTTGGGATGGAGATCCCTTTCTAGATCTTGATTATAGTTACCGGGATCACCCACTTTGGTCGGCAATCTGTCCCAGAAGCCCAATCCTAAGATCCAGAAGGGGATCTACTACGGATCTCATTTTTTAGAATTTCTGATCTCGACCCCTACATAGGGAGAGAGTTCCTTAGAACTACAGTCCATCACCTTCACTCAGTTTTTTCAGCTGATGAATCATATACAAACAGTCAGCTGTATTAGCATGCAATGCCATGGTGCAAATGCTAGAGAACTAAGTTTCAAATGTGAGGTTACTGGAAATATGAGATTGCTAGAAATATGAGATTGCTGGAAATGCGAAGTTGCCAGAAATATGAGGTTGCTAAAAGAGAAAGGAGTTTGGAATTACAGAAAGGATGCTGGAAATGTGAGATTGCTGGAAATATGAGGTTGCTGGAAATGTGAGAATGCTGGAAATAGGAGGTTGCTGAAAAAAAAAGAGGAGTTTTTGGGATTTATTGGTAAAGGAAAGTGAGATGATCTTGCTAGAAATATGAGGTTGCTGATATATCACAGCTTCGAGCCCAAGAAGGAATAAAAATCATGATTTTAGGGTCAGCGGAAGTCTAGATGTCATAGGGTTTCAAGCGCTGCTCTGATACCATGTTAAGATTGAGAGAAAAGAGAGAAAGTGAATTCAAGCACAGGATAAAGAAAATATAGATGTCTTTTCACTCTATTCAAAATGCAGGGCAATGTCCCCTATATACACACAGATCCATGTGGGAGTTACAGCCTATCATGCATGACTTTTACATGGCTGTTACATCTCATTATGTAAGACTGTTACAAGACTGTTACAGCCTATATTATACAAGACTGTAATAGTCACTACATTCATGCTTGATGAGAAACAATCCCGCCACCAGATTCAGGCAATGATCACAATTGGTGATACTGAATTGCCATTGCCAGTTCTAACATTTATTGGTCAGTTCTTCCTCCTTTTTCTCACAAAATGTGGACTAATCTAGAGATATAGAGCTTTTGTCTTATGGTCCCTCTTCATTGCCTACCCTTTTCTATAAAAGCTATTAAAATAGATTTCAAAAAGTACCTAATATTATAATTTTTTCCTTTTCTGGGAAATTACCGCTGGTCTTTCATAGAAAAGACTCATGAAATCAAGTTGGGACTCAGTGACTCATCTTAAATGAGATCCTGGAGAGTGCCCTAGAGATTCTGGTTTTTGAAAACATTGATCATAAGAAACATGGATCACAAGATCAAATCTTAATTATTCTACGTATGTATTGCACAAGTAATTATTTATTTGAAGCCTGTGAAAGAAATAAAATCATGATGTCAACGAATGCTTAATATAGATTTACACCACAGTGGAAGCAGAAGTGGAGCCACAAAATGGGTAGAGTTTATTACATTTAAATCTACAAAACTGCAAAGCCAAATAAATTAACTCCCTAAATACCCATACTACATGTTGGGGAACTTCATTACACAAAGCATAAACCTATGCTTGAAAATAAATAATTGAGATGTTTGTTGACATGCAAAGGTCGATCAAGGTTCACTTAAAATCATGCCTATGTTCTCAAACTAATGAGGAAGGAGACAAATGTTAGGAAACTAATCAAGCATGCAAATACATTCTTCACACTAATTTTTTGCGTTGTAATCCTCTAAACGAGTAGGAGCAATATCTATTTTGGTGGAGCAACCTAACCTCATTAGGCTAAAAAGATTCTTGTCGAAGTTTTATTTTTATGCGAAGAAAATTCATGGTACAGATGTGATCGTAGTATTTAGTTTTATGTTCTGATTATCTATCAACCTTGCAATCCAAGTCAGAGAAATATATAGTTAGGGGGTGGAGAATGGTAGATAAAGATGATAGGATTGCAATAGACTATATGTATAAAGCAAATGGATCAGTTGAATAAAGCCATTTAAAGCATTTGAATGGTCTTTAAGATGAAAAACCCGAGGGCTACCCGTTTCAGATAGCCTATACAGACACTGAATTGCATCAGGGACCAGGGGAATTTGGGAATGTTACGACAATGAGATAATTGATGCTTTCCTGGATATAATTTCATGCATTTCCAAATATTTATGACTTTTAAGTTATCTATTAGTTACCACTGCTTTACTAACTGAGTTATGCTTGAGTTACCAATGTATTTGTAGTTGCGACTAATTCATAAATTAAAATCATTCAAAAATAAATAAAGAATGGATATTTGCATCATTAGCAGAACATACAAAACTAACATGAACAGGACAGGAGAATACACACAGACACAGAAGAAGAATAGGTCAGAGCAGAAGGCTTATTAGCACAATACACATTCGATGCACACCTTGAGATTGGGGCAGAGGTAAGCAACAAAGATATTTATTTCAGATTCCTTTTCCTATAAATTTGTAATATATATCAGCGCAAAGTTGTTGGTGGCAGGAGCGGGATCAGTTTGAAGAACGCCAAACCACCATAGGGTGGAAGCTCCCTGGGGTGAGGAACGATGTCCATACATTCAACAAGTTAAGAAGCTAGGTCCTATATAACTGGGATCAAGGTTTTGACTTGAAGGGATCTAAACTACACTATACATAATATGAAATAAATCAATGTATATGATAAAATTAGGATTGAACGAAAGCCCATTTGATCCATGATTATAGACCTTAGCTTATTTACCAATGCCATAGTTATAGCACCTCCAATTTAATGCAATAATACAATTTAATAATATCATAAATTGGCTTCGGATGACATTAAATTGTAGTTTCTTAATACCATAATTCTAGTATACCATGAAGTGATATGCACAACATATTATTCTAACGAAATAAATCTATAGTATCAAGGAGAGAAGCAATAGTTCAATTAATAGTATAGCTCCTCTTCTTGGAGGGATCCTACAAGCATGTGGACCGAGATCCTGTTTTATAGTGAGGGAGAACCCAATTTCTGTACACTCTAGGTGTTGGGTGCATATTTCAAACAAGGTTTTAAAAAATGTCGATCTAGATTGAAATCGTTCCATCTAGATCGGGGATCGATGAGACTAATCCAGTTCCCACCATATCTCGCGAACCGCTGAGGAACCGGCTGGCCCCACTTTTACCTTTTCATTTTTAAAATTTTTATTGTTTCGGTTTTATTTTTTATTTGATACTTTTTCATTTAGAGAGGGGTGACAGATGGTCCACCCCTCTCCTTCTAAGTGGGAAGCCACGTACAAACCGCAACAGCCTACCCCGTGAACCCTTTTATAACCTTGTACCCCACATACTCTCTCTCTCTCATCCCCAATGTGGGACTAATAAAAGAAACGGAGAAATCAAGGCACACTGAAACTAACCCCATTGGCCTTTGTATTATGAACTTGGTCATTTTCTTTTCGTTAATTGACAAAGATTGTTTTATTTCATGTTTTCCTTTCAGTTTTTCTTGTTTTGTAATATAAACCCTCACTAAATACCTGCCCACTACACTCTTCCTCATCGCACACAAACACCAAGCACACATCTTTTCTCCTCCTAAAATGAGATTAATTAAAATTTGGGTGAGATTTTGGTGGATCTCAGGACTAAGTAATGAGGCCAAGGAAGTGGAAAATGAAATTCTTTGAAATTCAGTAGGTTTCAGCGATAAGCGACGAGGCCAAGGTGGTGCTAATCTCGGTGTACTCTTAGCTATAAATCACATGTGGTAGAGAATTATATCGAGGACACATGAAGCTAGGGAAATTAAGTTAAAAAAAATTAAGTTAGTGAAAGCAAAAGAAAAACATAAAATTATAAGGGAGGTGCTTATTAGCTGGTTAAAAAAACAAAGAAAACCTAATCTATCATGCTTCATTTTAACCAACTACTCTAGAACAAGAAAGATCAAGTTAAAATGAAGCAAAAGAAGAGTAATGTAGCAATGACGGAATTCCAAACAAAAAAAAAGATGGGAAAAAAATCAGAAAAAGTGCTTTAATCCTTAGACTTATGCAACTTCATTACAAGAAAAATATAAATGGAAATAAATAACCAATTCAATAAATTAACTTACAGGAAAAGGGGAAAATAAGAAATGAGTAGGCAAGATCCACTATATTGACAAGCGCAAGAAGGAATGGAGATTATAAAAATACTAAAATACAAAATTTGAGTTAGAAATATCCATTTTATTGCAATGAGTTGCATTTTTAAGGCCAGACAGGTCAATCCAGTCGCTCCATATCACCTTGATCCGGACTGGTTTTTGGGATGAACGACCTGGGTCACCGATCCGTTTTTTTCAAACATTTATTTCAAGTAATGCACACCAACAAGTAGTGTCTAAGAACAAAAGAAGTACCAATCGAGGCTCTAAGACTTGCATCCCACTTTTATGAATTATGACTAGGAGGCCGTTGAGAAACAGACATCACTCCGAAATAAACCGCTCGCATAAGACCCCATGGATGCTCATCTGGTCTCTTTTGCTAAAGTGCTAACTGCTACCACATCATCCAGTACAACATCTAAACTGACAAGAGATGATGCATGAATTTGCTCGAACTCAGATCAGATCTCCATAAGCATGTGTACCAACTACCAAGCCAGGCTTGTTACAATAGTCTCAAAATATGTGTATCCATTAGTGAATCATAGATCCATAAGAGCTTGCATATCTCAGACATATTTCAGTCTCACATTGAAATGACCGACTGTCCTGTCTCCCCATAGTTAAGACTTAAGAAGCTACAGTCAGACAGAACCTAGAATGATTCACTTCATGTTATAATTTCTCCAGAACTCCTCATTCATCCCTCGTTGTTTTAAAAGAGTCAAAGCGACAACGTTCATGTTCATTTCCATAGTGTACTATGGGGACCCAACCACAAGCTTTATAGGTTCAATCATATTAACTTCTTCCATACAGTCAACCCAAACTCTAACAGAGATGTAATTTTGCATGAAAAAGGCCTACAGAAAATAATTGTCCTCCATTCAACTTTTGATGAAAATAGGCTGGATTGATACTAGAATCACAAATCAACAAAAAAAAATTGGATAATGCTCCAAAATTTTAACCATTTTCAGAATAACACTAAAATTTCAGATAAATCTACAACACAGAAATTTGTGAAAACTGAATATAAAACCTTTAGAACTCAACAAAAGGTGTCAAACCCAAAACTTGGACCAAACAAGTATGAGCTTTGGATAAACCACCTAGTACTAGGCTTTTACATGTGTGATGACTAAAACATGTGAGTCAAAGGAAATATGAGAGAGACAGCTCTCCATGCCCAAGCGAGTGGAAAATGTGAAACATCTTTATAACCACTCATCCATTTGAGAATAATTTTTTGAGGATTGATCAGAGGACCAGATAAACCAGATGACCCTTAGTGCACATTTTCATCACCCCCACATTTATTTTGGGGTCATATAGGTCCAAGTTAATTATCAACAGATTCATCCCAATCCGAGGAACAAAAGACCAACTTTATTGTTTTCTACAGTTATAAGTTTCAATATGCAGCGCACATACTCCTTAGAGTCTGAAAAGTAATACAAGATGTTAAGTTTCAACATGCAGCAGATATACTGGGTCTAAGAAGGGTGATGACCTTAAACTTTCCCTTAAAAAATGGGAAAATAGATTTATTTAAAAATAAATTAATTGAAGAAGGAAAATGGAACTCTGAACATGATGTCAATGTAATACGTAATGAGATGGTTGACTGTATCAAGAAAAGAGCAAAAGAAGGTTTAGGAGAATCTAGAAGAAAAACAAATTCCAATAAAGAAGCTTGGTGGTGAGTGAAGTCCAGAAGGGCATTAGCAAAAAACGATCATGTTATAAAACTTGGCAGTGTAATAGAAACGAGCAAAACTTAGAAGAATATAAAAATGCTAAATAAATAGTAAGTAAAGTGAAACTTAAGGCATATCATAATCTATACAATAAACTAGGAACAAGAGAAGGTAAAAAAGAAGTTTTCAAATTAGCAAGAATAAGAGAAAAAAAATGTAAGAATCTAAATCATATTAAATATATTAACAATAAAGATCAAATGGTCTTGGTGAAGGATGATGAGGTCAACGAAAGGTGCTCGAGTTTATTTTAAAAAAATGAAATGATGAACACAACGGGAATATAGCGATCGAAGGAATTGTTGGTGTAAATGAGGGCCGAGGTCATAGATACATTTGTAGAATTAGGATGTCAAAAGTAAAAGAAGCTTTAAAAAGGATGAAGATAGGAAAGGCTTTAGGACCAAATGATATCCCGATAGAGGTTTGAACGTGTATAGGGGAGATTGACAAAGTTGTTCAACAAAATACTGAGAACAAAGAAAATGCCAAACGAATGGAGGAAAAGTATTAAGATACCTATTTACAAGAACAAATGAAACATACAAAATTGTGCAAACTATCGAGGGATCAAGCTTATGAGCCATACTATGAAGCTTTGGGTGAGAGTGATTGAGAAACGACTAAGGCATGAAATGAGTGTATCTGAAAACCAATTTGGTTTTATGCCAAGAAGGTCAACAACCGAGGCTATTTTCCTACTTAGGCAACTGATTGAGAAGTTTAGGGCGAAGGGAAAAGACCACCACATGATCTTTATTGACCTAGAGAAAGTTTATGATTGAGTACCTCAAGATTTGACTTGGAGGGTGTTGAAACAAAAAGGAATCTCCATACACTACATCAACTTGGTGAGAGATATGTACGATGGAGCGCTAACTAGTGTGAAAATAACTAGTGGAGAGACGAGTGAGTTTTCAATGACAATAGGTCTACATCAAAGATCAGCATTAAGCATGTACCTCTTTGTCTTAGTTATGGACGACTTAACTCGGCATCTACATGATGAGGTACCATGGTGCATGTTGTTCGCAGATGACATAGTTTTGATCGATGAGATTCGAAACAACGTCAACACAAAGATAGAACTCCGCAAGGATGCTCTAGAATCCAAAGGTTTTAGAATTAGTCGGACTAAGATACAGTATATGGAATGTAAGTTTAGTAATAATAAGAGTAGAGATGAGGAAGTAGTTAAGACTGACGGTCATGAAGTACAAAAAAGACCGTACTTTCGATACCTTGGGTCGATAATCCAGGAACAATGGAGGGATTGAAGAAGATGCCGCACATAAAATTAGAGCTGGGTGGGCAAAGTGGGGATGTGCAACTGTAATTTTATGTGATCGCCGCATACCAATGAAGTTGAAGGGTAAGTTCTATAGGACTGTTGTAAGACCAACTTTGCTTTATGGGGTAGAATGTTGGGCAGACAAAAAACAATATACCCATAAAATGCGTGTAGCGGAGATGAGGATGTTGAGATGGATGAATGGCAAGACAAGAAGGGATAAAATCCGAAATGAATCCATTCGGGAAAGTTTATACGTGGTACCATTAAGCAATAAGATGAGAGAGAGTAAACTTAGGTGGGCTGGCCATGTGTGGCGTCAACATAGTACAACACCTGTTAGGAGGTACAAGTGTTCAAGTGGAAGGATTGAAAAGGACAAAGGGTAGGGTAGGCCCAAAAGGACGTGGTTGGTAGTACTCTGAAAAGATATAGGGACTTATGGCCTCACTGAGGGTAGTTACAATATAGTACTCAAGTGAATATATTTAAGTACTCAAGGAATCAATAACAACTTTGCATCAACAGATCCAATATGTAGTTACAATATATATCCATGGAAAAAATTAAAAAATATTGATACAGTCTTAACAGCTAGTTCATTTCAACAAAAAGCTATATTCACTTTGTAACAAAGGATAAGGTATGAAGGGGCCAATAAATGTTAAACATAAGTGAACCTGGGATAAAAACATAAAGTGCATAGTTTCCTTCCACATGCGGGAAGCTCCTAATGCGATTTTCCTGACTAGTTTGAGCATAACCTGAAACGTTTCAATAAAACAGTGTTAACATTTCAAAGATAAAACATATTCCCATTCAAAGAGACTTCAATGTATTCAACATGTCAGCATCTAAATCATAAAGACAAACCAAGACATCTAAAACAGCAAACTGAACAATAAACTTTGAATGTAGATCAATAGGTAAAGGAATAACCATTCTATTACAAATAATAGAGAAATGAATAAATATTAGAATTAACTTTTCTGCCATGGGTTTGAGCCGGATAAGAATAATATTGAAAATGAGTTCAGTCTCCCACACAGTGTCATCTTGCTTCGGCCCTTCCTATTACTATCATGGTTTATCACTAGACAAATTTGTGAGAATAATAGAGATTCAAGTTCATTAATAAATCACTTCACTCACTCCTGAATATGCTTGTTGACACATGGGCTTTGGGGTGTTGATAAATCAGGCGATCAAGTTCACTTATGATAATGACTCATATGTGACAGATAAATCTTCCAGCGAAAAGCCCAATGAACAAAAAAGAGTTTTGTTTTTCCTTTTTTTCCTTCAGACGCCAAACACCCAGAGTCTACAGGGAAGAACAATTTCACCAATTAAACATGGGCGCCCATTATAAAAAACGATGGTCTTTCCGCAATACAAAACCCTAAAGGATAAGTACGTAAATAAGTTGTTCAACCTACCAACAGAACAAAAGGAACCATCAGTCGCAACTAATAACAGTAACAGAACCCATATAACCATCCGATTGCAATAACTACAAACACATGACCATAATGCTTAACTCAAAAAGAAAAAAAGAAAAAGAAAAAACACTATCCATATGAATCAAATCAATAAAACTACCAATAAAGAGCAACAAAAAAAAAAAAAGCAATTGCCATACCAAGACAGTTATTACACGGATCAACAGAGCCAAGAGGGGGAGGTGGCAAAGGGAGAGGGTCCTTTGAATTATGTGAATTTGAAATTTGGCGGGAATCAACAGCCCTCCAAGCGTTACGGCCTTCTTCTTTGTGATGATCAGAGTCTGAGGAGGAGGAAGAATCGTAGGCTTTCTTCAGAGCCTCCATCGCTTTCTTCTCACTGCAAACATCAAGTTTAGAGTTTTAGGGTACGTTTGATGACACCGTGTTGTCCTGATATTTTGAGATGTTGTAGAATCTACAATAATCTTGATTTTAGAAGAGATGGAAAGGGATTGTGACGCGTTAGATTGAGCAGAACAATACTATGTAAAATCCGAATTTTTGTTAATTATTTGAATCCCACAAAATTCAAAGGAGACTTAATTTTGCGGGATTTCAGTTTTCCGTCGCGTTTTGTTCACGCTCACTCACACGAACCCATAAAACCCATCTCCATCTTTCTCTCTAGGTGACCTTTGCGAGAGTCAGTCCTCTCTCACCCTCGCTCGCCATCTCCCCAAACTGTATCCCTAAAAGTCCTAAAACGCCTCTTTCTCTCTAAAAGTCGGGTAAATTTCTTGCCTTTGCAAAACCCTGAAATTTTTTCAATTTCAGAAACCATAAATTCTCCAGTCTCAATTCTTTTTTGATGTATAACAAGTAACTGGAATCCGGTACATTGGTCGTCCGGATAAATTTTTACGGGGAGCCAATTCCTCACCTGTCCCTGTAAATGCGGTTCAGATCCCCGTAAGACTTGGCTGTACAGCCAAAGATTTAGCCACAAATTGCTTTTCTGGTGGTTTTATGAGAATGTTTGTAGAGTAGGCAGTTCTGCTGAGGTTTAGGGTGTTTTTTTGGTAGGGATGAAGTTGAGGTGGGGGTGCGAGCTCTGTACTTGAAGGAGTGTATTTTGCAATGCATTTGTAGGCCGTCGATTTTCGAGATTTAACTTTTCATACGATCTATACTATATTAAAAGGCAAAAGTTTATATAAGGTTGCAACTTTAAAATGTAAAATCATATTAAAAATCTATCGAAAATGTTGCTTTAATGTTGAAAAGCTTTCTAATCAATCATCTCGGCATCAAGATCTACAAATTTTTAAAATAAAAAAAAATTGAATATTGAAAATAGTGCATCATATAGCATATTATCTAGACCATCCATTTTCAAGATTTTCATATATTTATAGATCTACTTGATTTTAACCATTTTTTAAATTTAAAATTTTCTAATTAGATATGAAAATAGATTTTAAGATTATACTAAACATTTTTTACAACAAAATTACATGTTATTATAAAATTTTAAGGTATGCTCTAATTAAATTTTTTAAAGTTGCAATCTTATAGAAACCGCACCATTTTAAAAACTTTAAACATTATAAATAAATGTGTGGTTTCTATAAGGTTGCAACCTTGAACAATCCAATTAAGGCGGACCTCCAAATTTTATTATAATATGTAATTTTGGTGTAAATTATTATTAAGATTATTTGAAAATCTATTTTCACATCTATTTATAAAATTTAAAAATCCAAAAAAGGTTAAAATCAATAAATCCATAAACATACAAAAAATCTTGAAAATGGACGGTCTAGATAATATGCTGTAAAATGCACTATTTTATGAGACTAGGAATCTTTTTTTTTATTCATATTCATATATCACGATGTTAAGATGATCGATTAGAGGGTTTTTCAACGTTGAAACAACATTCTTTGATGGATTTTTTAAGTGCATCTGTAATTCAACATTTTAATGTTGCAACTTTATATAAACTTTTTCCTATAAATAAAGATGAAAATATGTTTTAAGACTATCACAAAGATTTTTCAGTATTGAAACCACATTTCTCGACACTATTTGACGGTAGGCTCTAATTTGATTGCTTAGAACCTAAGCTCTACACAAATTGTACCCTATAAATAATAGTGACTATTAATTTATTTGTTTTTGTCTAAAAGGTGTATCGAAAATTCTCAATTTTTTTTAGTGTTTCTCTCTTTTAAAATTGTGTGCTTGTGTTCTCTATTTTCACATATTTTTTTAATGTTTTTCTTTCTTAAATTTTGTGTTCATCTTATGGAAAATTGATCATCTGTTTATTCTCTCCCTATTCACACACAAATTTCTAGTTTTTTTTTATTATTTCTCTTTTGTTAAGTTGCTCCTCTTCGCCTTCTCTTTGCACGTAAATGTTCTCTTTCAGTGTTTCTCTATGCACTTGTTAAACAAGCAGAAGGCTGATATTTTCTCTCACTTGATCGATGACCCATTAATTGTGAGGGAGAATCTTGCTTAAAGGTCATTAAGGTTGTAGTATCTCCTGTCTATGGAGAAAGAAGAAGCCAAAAATAAAGGTTGAGGTGAAATATCTCACTGGGGTTTTGGTTGAAGATTAAGGTCAAATAAGCCAAAGATTGTTTATCTTTCAAATATGAATAATGATCCTATGAGATGCTCCTACATCATATGTATAGAACCCCAAAGGATCACCATTAAATTTGGCACAGATCTTTAGAAAAGTTATCACATAGATATGGGACTTGAATTTTTTAGAGAACTGTGTCAAATTTAATGATGATCATTTGGGGTCCTACATACATAGATGTAGGATCATAGGATCATAACTCTTCAAATATATGTAGGCAGTTAAACACGCACCAAAAAAATAGAATATAGATAATAGATCATCTTAATCTTAATATATGGAAAACCTAGCAATGCCTTTATTCAAATTAAAAAAAATCTGAATTTTTAGAGTTAATTTGGTCAAACATACCCTTATTTGGAGCAGGGAATTGTAGCTTCTGCTTTTAATTTCCCCCAATCCCCGACCACAAAATTTTAAAACTACCCCTTGCACTCAATAAATGATGAATTGTAAGAAGGAAAAGTATAAAATGAGACAATTTATTCTATTGACCAAGGTTAAAAGTTGAAAAGATATTTCTTGAACTTAGTGACTCACCCAAGCTATCAGATTTCACATCGGATCGTTATAAGTAATTGTGACCTCCTTAAAAGAAAGCTGGCTTTTGATTTTCTTTTTTCTTTTTTCTTTTTTTTAATGTTAATTTTTCTTTGTTTTTTCATGAATGTTTAGAGAAGTGATGAACATTTGTAAGTCATGTAACGGTTTGGGCTTAATACTTTAATAAAGCGCTTCATAATGCTCTCTAACTTGCTAACCAAGGCTACAATTTATATTAGTAGATTTGTTAGGATGAACTTGTTGAGGATAATTCTACTTCTCATGCAAACTAATGTAGCCTTTCACATATTTATTTTACTTTGAAATCACTCAACCACAACAACCCATCAGGCCCTTGATGGTTTATCCACAAAAATAGGTAACCCCATGTACTAAAATAGCAAAGATTCTACCCCTCATCCCATCCTTGCAACAAGGTCAGCAATTTGATTTCTCAAATGCTTTACCCTAATCATCTCAATCTTTTCAAAGCATCGAATTGTTTATGTATAATAAATATTTGTATGGTTTTTGTCAGATTTAAGTTACAACAAACCTAGTGAGGTTCATCACAGTGTTTATACCCAATGAGTCTTATGCCTATAAGTTAAGCATACAAATGAAGCTATAAATTTTTATATGGATGTATGATCCAGATTGCAAATATCTAAATGCGCATATATATGGGCAATATCTCCAAAAGATTGAGAGACCGAGATGATGATGTTAGTCTCAATGAAAATAATAATAAATAAATAAAATTGAAATCGATAAACATCTTACTCGGATCTGTCCTTAAATCACACGAGGGACCTAAGGTTCCATACCAAACCTATAGACCAAGTCATCTGGTGATAGGCTACCATGAGAGTCCTCTTGGTGAATCTCCTTCACCTCCTTTTTATCATTCTCTCTCTCTTTTCTAAAGGGGTTAACTTCCTTTTATTTAGTAACTTTCACATTCATGGTATACATGAGTTGAGATCCAAGTGTAACTCCTGCCTTAATTCTCTTAAGTGCAGCTAGTTAGGATAATAATTTATCACCAAATTGTTAATCTTAAGTCCACTAATGACTCATATAATAGGATGTCATCTAAGCATTCCCACAATTTACAAGGAATCCAAACACACCACTAGGCTTTCCCTCCAGTGATACAGGGTTTTTTCCTCCAGTGAAACATCATAATAAAGCTAAAAAATGGATCAATGTATATGGCATTGTCTCATGTTAACCATATGGGATTTCACATATACTCAATATGGCTTTTGTACCATTATTAAAAAAATGAATTTTCGAGAGAAAAATGGCCTGACCGGCCACATTTCCAACAACTCTAACTTTGTGTGACGGCCTTTTAACATATTGTACATGACACTACCTCATGTTTTCCACATTTCATATACTCAACCAATGTAGTCACACACCACTTTTAGATTTCCTGGCATTGCCTCGTGCTGTTTGTATATGGCATTGCCTCGTGCTGTTTGTATGGGATTTCACATATACCCTACTAATGTGGTCATATATCACACTCAGATTTCCTGGCCTCGATAACCTTGTACATGACATTGCCTCATGCTTTGTAGTTTCCACATGAGATTTCACATATACCTTGTCAATGTGGTCAAACACCACGCTTGGATTTCTTGGCCTCAATGGTTTTATATATGGCATTACCTCATCCTACCTACATGGGATTTCTCATATACCTTACCAGAGTATTCATACCACATTTAGATTTCTTGACTTCAATAACCTTGTATATGGAATTGTCTCATGCTACTTGCGTGAGATTTCACATATACCTTGCCAATGTGGTCAAACACTACACTTGGATTCTTGGCCTCAATGGTTGAATATATGGCATTGCCTCATGCTACCTGCATGAGATTTCTCATATACCCTTATAAATGTGGTCATACACCACACTTAGATTTCCTGGCCGCAATAACCCGTTGCCTCATGCTACCTGCAAGGGATTTCACATATATCATCAAACACCACACTTGGATTTTTTGGCCTCAATGGTTTTGTATATGGCATTGCCTCACACTACCTGTATGAGATTTTTCATATACCTTACCAATTATTCACCAACATATTGAATTTTATTTACATCTATCTTTTAGCCAAAAGAAAAAGGCCTATTGCTTTCGCTTGTTTCTTAAACATGTCGTCTACAACTGGTTTTTAAGTCTGAAGCCCAGTTTCGGATCATAGGTCAAAATAATAAAAAACTATAGTAATTTGACAAAGTTCTTAGTATTATTATATACATAAAGAAATCTTTAAGTGGTCTCAACCTTAACAATAATAAAAGAAAGAAATATAATATCATTTATTTTTGACATGTTCAATAAGTTTCAACTAGATGATGTTATCAAATTATTCCATAATGGCTCACACTATTCTCAATATGTGGCTATCATCATAATAACAAAAATTAGTCCAATATAGTCTACCATGCTAGCTCAGTAATTGCTCTCACTTTCTTAATGTTCATTGATAATTCTAGAGCTAACAAATTCAATTCTACTTTGGCAAATGATGATTTACTCCCATTATATAATGAATAGCTATCACCAATATGATAATTCAATCTAACATGATACACCATTAGACATTTTAATGTTATTTGGACATACGCAAAACATGATAAGATGTCAATGATAATTATATCTCATTGAAAAATAATAGCTCAGCATCACATCCTCATGGGTACAAATTTAGTTTTCTAAATAAACGAAAGAATACTAAGCGAAAAAAATAACCAAAAATAACTCACAACTTGGTTAAAAATAATAAACAACATTATCAATCTAAACAAAATATTCTTAATGTTTATAGAAAGCAAGAAAAAAAAATTCTAACACACACACACACACACACACACACACATATATATATATTGTTGAACTTGAAATATTCATAATCATTGATCACCATGAAAA